GGCTTATATACGTCGATGTCCTTGTATACCAACTTGGCCTTTGCGAAATCGAGCACTTCGATGAGGCGCAGGCGCTGGTCGGGGCCGTCGAACTGTAGCCGCAGACCGTTGTCAGGGAGGACGACTTGTACGGGTGATGATATGGGTCGTAGTTCGTCGTGGTAGAGTTGGAAGCGTGGGAAGGCCTTGACTTCGGCTTTGATCGTCGTCAGTACCTCGTGTAGGGAGCAACCGAGGGCTGTGTATCAGTCAGCTTGGTAACTGGGAAAGATGGTCGCAACGGACTCATGAAGCCAACACTGCGCCCAGGCTGTAACTGCATGATGCCGTCTTCCATGGTGGGTATGTAGTAATTGTATGAGTGGAGTGAGTTGTTGTAGTGTGTCTGTCAGTCGATGTGCTGCCTAGCTCGTAGATAGCGAGGAACTCATAGGCGCGTGCTGTGTCCACGAGGACAAGGCGCCGGGTTCATCCGTGCAGCCCCAAACACAAGAATAAAGATCAACGAAGCCGAAGTGAAGCGATACAATAATCGACGTTGTGACAACGTTCTAATCAATGAAGGACAAATCGTAACACGATCGCGGTGAGTGAGGGGTGGCGGGGCAGACGCGCAGGCAGGTAGTTGGGTTGACTAGGAGCTCCAACGTTTTGCACAGGGGGAAGCTAATGATATATCATTTGAATGTATTGCATCGGCTCAGTGATCAAGGCATGAAGACAAAATGTATACGGAGATGTGGATGGAGATGTGCATGCATGCTGCATTGACGTAGCGCGCCGTGTTCGCGATAGCTGATAGCGCGTGGTCTGTGCCATTGAGCTAAGCAGGATCCCTGCATGAACATGTTTACTGACTGTTTACGTGTGCAGGTTCCGCAACACCAGACGCATGTCACCCTAACCCGCATATCCACGTCCACCACCCCCCGAACGTCGCCATGTCTGGACTCCCGCGGCCAGGACCGCCGGTCAAGCGGAATACGACGAGCATGCGACCTCCCACGACGCGCCCGCCCCATCTGGCGCGTGGCCGTTCAGCGACACCCGCCATGGACGGCCGCTCATCGAGAGCCGAATCAGTAGCTTCGTCGGCGCGAGCTCCACGATCATCGCCTTTAAAGCGCAAGATAGACTTCGAAAGCGAGGGAGGAGAAGAGACAAACATCAACGTGGTCGTCCGGTGTAGAGGGCGCAATGACCGCGAAGTGCGCGAGAACAGCGGCGTCGTCGTGTCGACCAACGGAATCAGGGGCACAGCTGTAGACCTGTCCATGGGCCCGAGTGCGCTGAGCAACAAGACATATCAATTCGACAAGGTCTTTTCTCCCGCAGCCGACCAGGCCATGATGTACGACGAAGTTGTGGCGCCTATTCTGGACGAAGTGAGTTGGAATGAGAGAGTAGTGATTACCTCCGCTAACGAAAATTTAGGTCGTCGACGGCTTCAACTGCACAATCTTCGCATACGGTCAGACCGGCACAGGAAAGACCTACACCATGACTGGTGACATCTCCAATGTCCTTCCTCTGCCAGACGCCGCCGGTATCATTCCACGCGTGCTTTACGCGCTTTTCCAACGCCTCGAGACTGACGAGATCGAAAACTCGGTCAAATGCTCTTTCATCGAACTTTACAACGAAGAACTCCGCGATTTGCTTTCACCAGACGATGCGACCAAGCTCAAGATCTACGACGACAACAGCAAGAAGGGCTCCACCACCACCATGGTCCAGGGTATGGAGGAATGCCATCTCAAGACTGCTGCCGAGGGTATCACAATGCTGCGCAACGGCAGCCACAAGCGACAGGTAGCTGCGACCAAGTGCAACGACCTCAGTTCGCGAAGTCATACCGTCTTCACCATTACCGTCTACATCAAGCGAACGACAGAAGATGGCCAGGAATACCTCAGCGCCGGAAAGCTCAACCTCGTCGATCTTGCGGGTAGTGAGAACATCCAGCGCAGTGGTGCTGAAAACAAGCGCGCAGCAGAGGCTGGTCTTATTAACAAGAGTTTGCTAACACTGGGTCGCGTTATTAACGCACTCGTCGAACGCAGCTCACATATCCCGTACCGAGAGTCAAAACTCACCCGCCTGCTGCAAGACTCGTTGGGCGGTCGAACAAAGACGTGCATCATTGCGACCTTGTCGCCAGCGAAGAGCAACCTCGAAGAGACGATATCCACCCTCGACTACGCATTCCGCGCGAAGAACATCCGCAACAAGCCGCAAATGAACCAAGCCATCAACAAGAAGACCCTGCTCAAGGAGTACACAGCCGAAATCGAGAAGCTAAAGAGCGAATTAATAGCGACCCGGCAGCGCAACGGTGTCTATCTTACACAGGAGAATTACGAGGAGATCACAACAGTCAGCGAATCGAGACGAATCCTTAGCGAGGAACAACGCGACCGCCTTGAGACCATGGAGGTCAACCTGCGCAACAAAGTGGAGGATCTGTTCAAACTCACGACAAATTTCCAGACCTTGAAGAAAGACAACGAACAAACTCAGCTAGCTTTGGAAGGCACCAAGGGCATCCTAGAAAAGACTGAGATTGTTTTGGAGCACACACGCCAAAACCTTACCGAAGAGGCGGAACTGCGAAAGGCGCATCAGAAGACTGAGCAAGAGCTCGCAGAGGTCGGGAAAGAGATGATTTCAACACTCGGCAAGACCACATCAGCTATCGACGGTTTACGGTCGAAGATTCGACGGAAATCAGAACTCCAATCGCAGAACCGACGGAATTGGAATTCCTCCCAAACCCAGGTTGTCGACACTACCCGTATGGTTGAGGACCGGATAGAGGAGCTTCAGCAACAGCAAGAACAGCTGATGAACGCGATATCGGAACGTATGCAGGCTTTTGTCAGAGATGAACTTGAGCAGCTTGGCACCTCGCAGTCTTTCTTGCAGGAAAAGATGGAGGCATGCCAGACTTCCGAACAAGAAGTCAACGGACAGACAGCTCAAGCGCGCGACCACATGAATGAAGTTCTGGAGGAGATCAGGACTCTTCGAGAAGACGTCAAGACGAAGATCGGCGCAGGCCTCGATGAGCTCTCAGCAGCGGCAGAGACAATCTCTGCGAACATCATCACGGAACTCGACGCCTTCCACACGCAAGTACACGCGTCCTATGCGGGGCTCGGACGAGACTTCAAGACCACCTTTGACGATCTAGTCAAGGATTTGAACGACCAGCAAATCGAGAACGAGCGACTACACCAACAGGTCGTAGAGGCCAACGCAGCCTTGGTCGAGGCGAACAAGACATCTCAGGGCCAACTTGAGAAGGTCGTGAACGAGGAGAAACAGAAGTCGGCCGAAGACCGCCAACAACTGCTCTCTCAGCTTACCGCCATCATCAACGCAAACGCCGACGCGCAAGAGAAGAGGTTAGACGAGAAGCTCTCGGCTGTACGAGAGGAGATGAATGCCGCCAATGCTACGTTCGAGACGAGGCAAGATGCTTATGCTGATGGCGTTATTGCATGGTCAGATAAGTCTAGAGACATCCTGGCGGGTGTATCCAAGTCAAGAGATGCCGTCAAGACCAAGATCAAGTCAGACTTTGCAGCCGCGACCCAGCATTCCACTTCGATCAAGGACACGACTACTTCCGTCCACGAGAGCACTGTCAAGACTGTTGAGGCTCAGATGGCACACCTGGACACTCAGCTTCAATCCTTGGATGACATCGTAGCCCGCATCCGCGAACAGAACAACACCCACCACACCGCCCATACAGCATCGCTGGCCGCTTTGTCGTCAACAGTAGCAGCTTCATACTCTAGCATTGGCGATCATCTATCCACTTCATTCGATCGCGTTCAGTCTCTTGAATCCGACATGTCAGCGCAAGCAAACACGTTGAAGGAGACTTTGCCATCGCTTGCTGCAGATGCGGACATTCGGGCACCGCTACACGAGCTCCGCGAGGTCGTCGGGTCCCAGAACTTGATCGAATACAATCCCACTGGCGAAACACCCCAGCGCGTCTCCTACACCATCCCCTCCACCCTCCCACGCACCGAAGCACACGAGAACATCCTCTCTCGTCTTCGAGACCGCCCCGCACCCGTCGATACCACCACACGTAGCCCTTCGAAGCAACCCATCTTCGACGACGCCACAGGAGCACTCAACCTCTCATCTCCAACCGACATATTCGCCGACACAAGCAAGAAGCCCATTTTCTCGCACTCCATCAGTGCGCACGCCCACACCATCTCGCACCTCCCCACAGGCAACCCTTCTTCCCTACGGGAGCTAGATGTTAACGTGGTGGCGCAGGAAGCTCATACCCAGCCACTTCCCCATCTCGCATCCCAGTCTTCTTGCGATTCGCTGAACGGCGGCCCTCCGAATAAGAAGGCGCGAACCAATGGCGATGATACAAGTAAGCTTCCGATGAAGAAGATGACGAGGAAGACAGTTGGTGTCGCTGGCGATCGTGGGGATAGGGAGAATATTACGAATTTCGGTAATAGCGTTGGTCCGGGTCTTGCGGCTGGGCGGAAGTTGAGAAGTCATGGGAGTGGGTAGATGCTGGGATTGTGGTGGTGTATAGTTTTGGCGTTTTACCCCCGTGTTGGGCTTTTTTTGCATAGTCACGGCGTTTGATGTGGGCAGCGGCAGCGGTATATCTGTCTTGTCTACTTGTTTTTCTTCTTCTGCTGGCGTTCGGACACTGGGTTCAAAAGGCTGGGCATACATAGGCGTAATGACATTCCGAACTTCTTACCTTTATCATGATTTCTGGTCACTCTGTAACACGTTTCCGGAATCTTTGGATCCGCGCTGGTGAAAGCAGTCCGGCCCTACTTGTGGCACAGTCACAATGCCGTGTGCTCACTTTCTGCCTTAATCACTTCTTTTGCGCTTGAGGTTGAGTTTTTCAATGTCTAGCTATACAAATTCTCCTGTCAACATCTGGATACCTTACAAGGCCAGCCAGACAGCTAGAGATACACTCGCGAAAGCTCCCATTATCGCCCGAGAAGACGAGAATCCATGCACAGCCGCGCCCAATTCCGAATGCAACCAGCACTTGCGGTCTGACCTCTGGTCGACTGAGGCAAGATTGAAACTATTGAGGGGGTAAGGTGTATTGCCACAATCACCCTCATCAGCACTCCAACAGCTGTACCCAAACCAATTCAGCAAGTTTTGGTCATCGTTAGGATCGAGTTCAGAGCAGTCCTCCCCTCCGTAGACGGTAGCCATCATATTTGAGAGATGGCCCTCCTTCCATATGTCGTCATAAGCCTGCACTACATGGTGGCGGTATAGGACCCGAGAGTAGTTTGCTGATCTGTCGTACTTGTCGGCGTTGAGAAGCGTCCAGTATATACCCGCTTGTTCGTCACCAAACCTGTTAGAACCGAGGTTCCATGTCTGGTTCACAAAGCCCTGCGTGGCGTTTCCACCAAAGAGGTCTCCAAGACTGAAACAGTGGGGGACGACGGGAATACTACTCGTAGTGAAGGTCAAGGCGTCGCGGGAGTCGTAGTAGTTACACGTGTCGTCGTGGCCATCCTTGAAGAAACGGAGCGTCAGGTTCTGACTATCGAACGGTTAGTTGACTTGTGCCGATACATGGGGAGGGCACAAACTTGTATGGGCTTAGTTCTTGCCCATCTGCGTTCTGGGATGCTTGTGCATGTGCGTGGAATGGAGAAGAAAGTATGGCTAGCAACGCCGATCTTTTGATGACCTGGAAGAGCTGCATTGGAAATGCTGAAGCAGGAGGTTTAGGGAGAGTTTCGAAAACAGCAAGAATTGTCAAGTCTGAATACGGTTCTGAACGAGTCCGCTCTCAGTAGATGCGAGCGTGGGGGGCGGCTAGGGTGTTTGTACTCCATCTCCAGACATCGCTGCATAATAAGGCCATCCGCTTCTTGCCAAGAGTAAGGCATACTCATGGGACATTTCGTCATGTGTCACACTGCGGCTTATTGCATGTAAGGGCTCAGACCATCTCACCGGCTAATCGGTTGGAACGGAACGTTTCCTTGTCGCTTCCAGTGTCTGAAGCTGTCGCTGGTCGCGTAGATTCGTCGGTTGCAGCTGCTCTTAGCACTGTCGTCATTCGTCCTCTCTTAAAACCCGACTCATGTACGCCCCAAATGACATCGCTGGGTCATAACAACGCACATATTCTTCCTTAGCGTTGCGACGTTGAGGCGGGGTTGGGTGGCACGGTCGACCCGATCATTGTCTGATTTTGGGATTGGTGTTTACCAAGACCCCAGACGGGGTGCCTCGGGGCGCCTTATGTAGCCCCCACAACCACCACGTGCCTGCTTCGATTAGTCACGGCGGCAGCTAACCTTAACCACCATAAGCAACAAGACTTTGATCCAACGTCCGCGGTGTATTCCGGGGTAATCTTCTGCAGGGCGTCTTGTGTGGGGATCTCGCTTCAACCATGCGCCTCGTCATTCGTCGATGAGTTTCGGGCGTAAGCCGTATTGCCGGTCGAGCCTTACGAACTCATAGTAAAGAACGAATCTCATATAGAGATTGGCGAGACGATGACGTCTTGACACATAGTTATGCTGGGTAAACGCACGAGGGATAAGCATGTACGCCCGGAAGACAAGCATTTATGCGGTGCTTAAGTTGAAGTCATCCATTCAATGTTGGCGTGTGAAAGTATCTATGTAATGCTCTGACACAATGGGTTTCCAACAAGTCCGCTCCAGAAGGCTTTCCGTACACGCTTCAGCCACTTCCATAGCAGTTGTACACAACAGTTCCTGTCACGAGTGGTGTTCCAGTGCAGTACCCTTTGCAGATCTGATCGACTCTGTCCCCTTCCTGTTCAGTCAAGTAGCAGTCTTGTTCACATTCAGCGCCTAAACATAGGGTGTCAGCTCGTTTACCTAAAGGACCGAAGCCGGCAGTTGCTGTTACATACCACCCTCGTATGGGCCGCCGTTGCTGTCGGCAACATCGCCGTTGACGCAGGAAGGTACATCGTTTTGTCGTTTGACCGAAAGTGCGAGAGAGCTCGTAAGCAGAGTACTGATCAGGGCAAGTGAGAGCTTCATGGTGGCTTGTTGGGGTCGAGTGGTCGATCTTGTCTCGAAAGAAGAAGTGGAGCTGGTAGAGAAAGGTGTTGCTGAGCATTGAGTCGGTGGGCGAGGTGGGTTATAACTGTCCCGCGGACTTGGCAATTCGACCTCCATCACAGATTAGTTGCTTTCCACCGGCGCTTCCGAGGAGATGACAGGGCGTACCGGTGTCGCTTTTTCCTACTTTCGTCATTAGTCCCCGGTTTTCTAGCGATCCTCCAGCTCCCAGGCAGACTACTGTTCTAACCGGTAAGACGACATCACTCAACATTACCATTCGGGAAGGTCTTGATATTTGCGTTCATCAGTGTCTTAGAAGGATGAGATACCCAGAAGGCTACGGCAAATCAAAGGTCGGCCATATCATAGGCAGCATACCTAATGTTCGTACAGGCTGACAAAGTGAACAAGCCGAACCTCCACTTCGCATGGATAAAGTATTGGCAACAGTTGGGGGCCGAGCACATGTTGTCAACGAAGTTCTGATTTGCTATTCGATTTGAGACATGTTACGATGGCATGCCGAAGTTCCGGAGAAATGTCACCATGGCTCCATAGTGTCATGGATAGCAACAAGCACTGCTCAAGCCGAAGAGATATAAAAAGTCCTTCTGTGAACCAAGCACTCATCACCCAAACCGGACTTCTCCCTCTCAGTTAAACGGCTTTGAACAACTATCATATAATCAGCTTTCGCGCAAGTTTCAACATGGCTGCCTCGGTTCTCACAGCCATTGGGCTCGTGGCTGACGCATTGACTACGGTTGGGTTTTTCGAAGCCAACGTCCCAGGATCAGCACCAGAGGGTGCAACTGTCAGAATCAAAGGTACAGCATCACAAGAGAACTAATATCTTCATGGTAGTTGCTGACACACTCTTCACTCCTGCAGCCGGTCTACCCGACCTTGGTAACGACGGAGACAGTCTTGTGAGTGCTACGTCCAAGTATGGACAACATAGAGTCCGCTGCTAACAAGAGGTTAGTCTGGCTCGATCAACAAGGTCTATTCCTTCTCCCAGGTAAACGGATATCAGGGTCAAGCTGATGGCTGTGATATCGGTTCTGGTGGAATTTGCGACCGCACCATTGACGCGGGGGTTGGGGGCCAACGAGCCAAATACGTCAGCATCTCGAACAACGATGACGCGACATGTATTGCCTGGATCACCGTGACGCAGTTCGACGGCACTTTCGGTGGTGCATGGACTGGCGATATTGGATCAGTCTGTGGCCAATCCTGGTACGAGAGCGTCGAGGTAGCGGGACGCCTAGACGACGGCGGCGACTACGTCCCCAGGTGCACTTGGATTGATGCAGGTAAATGACGGTCGTGGCACACATGTGATACATACACTGACTTCGTATCTAGACCATACCAACGATATTGCGGCTGCTTCTCTGAAGTTCGATACCTCCGCGTATGGTGAAAACGTCAACGACACCGCGAGCAGCAACGCAGGATGTACATACACGATCTTTGGCCCAGACAGTGGCCCTATCGCTGGTCAGTCATCCCCTTATACCTACCGCGCAAGGACTTTCTCTAACATTCGTGTTCAGACCAACCTGGCGCCAAGCGTAGTGTCTCTGAGCGCCCCCAGTGGATGACCGAGGCACTTGTCGTGTCCAACATTGCAAGCCACTCAGCGAAGGGACTTTGTGAATCTGCCACGTCTTGGGGACCGGACTTTGTTGACGCACATGGAAACTTCTGCGATATGGGCTCTAAGACTCTCACGCCGCTCTGCTCCTCGCAGGATGTTGATGGGTGTGTAGATGTGGACGAAGACGAGAGCGCTGTCGTGAAGCGCATGAGCGTCGCGAAGCGCACTACCAGCGTCAAGCACAAGTCGTACAAGAAGATTGCCAAGTGGGGATTTTAGATGACGGCCTCTTGGGCAACCTTGGGAGAGGAGGTTTACGTACATTTGCGGAGTTTACACTCAATTACGCTCATTACTAGTGACATTTGACTTTTACAATCTATCCCACAACCCTCGCAAGTGACGAGGTCATGTTTTGCCGTCCATGACTCCTTCTTGCACGACTTGCATGACTCTGCGATAGCAACAACGACGTTAACTGTCGCGCAGAAGATATGTGGCTGTATCGTAGCATGTGCTGCCGGGTCGCAGTTTCCAAGGTTGAGTCCCGAGGTCGTCTTGCGTATGATCGTCTGAGTAGCCAAAGTAAACGCAGCCACTCGTCATGAGCGTGGTCTAGGATGCCAAACGTCCATCATGCGGACGAATGCTCTCGGAAATTCTCGATGTCGAGACAAAAGAAGAGGATTCCGGGAACTAGAAATTTAGAGTTGTTCCCCTTCCGCCTGCCGCTGCTTCCGTGCAGGGACCCGTTGCGCTAGCCTCTCGCAATGGCCACACGTCGCCTCACGAACTCAAGAAGCCTCGGAGGATCGGTAATGAGGCTGGCAGCGGGCAGTGTTGGGCACAGCCTGGGTGTCGACGAAACCTTAAATTGTTGCGCGTACCGCACCCACTATAGTTCCCACGAAGAACCTTGAAAGCCTCTATCGCCGATGTCACAATTTGCGTACCCAGGCGCAAGTACTTTGGCTGTCAACTGCCGAAACAAAGTAACACTTTTCTGAACGCCATTTCTTTAATGACGCACTAGGCGATGTTTTTTCGAAGAAGGAAAGTTATGATCGAAGCGACGTAGACTAGATTGACTTTAGTATCTGGGTATGCAATTCTCTCCTTCAGGGTTCATCACTCGCTCGACGACATCTTTCGTAAATGCAGGAACCGTCAACAGATCACAAAGCCATATCTTTACCGTTGGTTCACCTTACCATGAGCTCGCCATATGTCTATTCCGTATTTTCCAAAATCCTAAAATATACAAATAACACCGTCATCATGCATTCACCTTCTATCAACTATCAAAAAACTCCGCTTCTTTGTCCATCAACGCATCCAGCTCATGGTCCTTCAAGCCCACCAAATCCATCTTAAAATGCCAATTATGCCACCCAATCTGGCGCTCATACCTCCCGATATACCCCTTGACCAGCTCCCTCCAAGACTCCTTGCCCAAATCCGCTAACCTTTCATTCCTCATATCCACGACCACCGTCTTCCCCGGCGGCGATCCCTCCACAAACTTCACCCTCTCCACACCCCCAAATACCTCCATCATAACCCTAACCACCATCGCAACATCCGCCTTCGGAATCCCCTCAATGTCAATAACAAGTTCGCGTAAATGCAATTCCTTGGCAAGAGCTCGCAACTGACAGCGCCAAAACAGCGGTAAGCCCGTCCCGCCATTCGGCTGCGGCGGCTCTAGAAACTCGAAAATCGCATCCGAGGCTAACCAGCGCACGCAATGAAGCAAAGCATTCTTCCCGAAATGGAAGGCCAAGCGTTTAATGTGGGGACGATAAGTCGGGCCGCATTGCCAGAGGAAGTTTGTCGTTCCGCTGAGGCCGAAATGGAAGGTCGTGCTGCGCATTATGTATGGGCGCATTGTGTCGTGGATGCCGCGTGAGATGCGTAGTAAGGTTGATAAACTGATGGCTCTTTCGGAGGCTCTGGCACAGTTCCTGCGCGCGTCGTTGGTGAGGTCGTAGTCGCGGGTAAGTCCGGCGGCGGTCATGAGGATCATTTCTTGGAGTTCCGTGGGTAGGCGTTGGAATTGGTGGAAGAGTGGTTGGATGGGTACTGTGTCTCGTTTTGAGGGTGGTGGGCCAAGTGCTTGTGAGCGGACGCGGAAGACGTAGTCTGCTGTATTGGCGACGCAGTGGCTACTCCGACCTGGCAAGCGCGCAGCGAGGTGTCGGAAGTAGAGTCTGTTGAAGTAGTCGCGTGCTGAGAGCCATCCTGAGCCGAAGCGGATGACGAGGTTGTAGTAGCTGTTTGAAGAGCCGGATATGGCTTCTGGTGACGGCCATGCCTCCTCTTTCTTGTCCTCCGCGAGCTTCATCTCGCTGCTGAGTAAAGCCATGCTCCTGCTCTTGATATCCCGTCCCAGTTCTCTTATCTTGCCGTTTACGCTGTCCTTTTGCGGTCCAAAAAGCTTAATAGCAACCGTCTTCCTATAGTCCGTAAAACTCGAATCCGTCAAAATACAAGTTACACTTCTACCCAATTCCAGATTTTCGTTGTATTCAGGCTCGGAAGGTAGTAAGCTGAGTTTTCCTTGAAAGAAATTACTCGATTCGTGGCTCAAGTGCCATCGTTTCAGATGTTCCAAGAACGATTTTCGCCGCTGCTCCTGAAACGAGAATTTGCTTGATGGGCTGCGTGGAGATTTAGTTGTCTGCGAGGTAAGAGGTGGTTTAGGGGTCTTGAAATCGGCCGAGGTCAGCGTGGACGGTGCTGGCTCCGTCGTCGGTGTTTTTGGGACACTAGTGTCGCAGGTGATGCTTCCGCGAGTCATAGTTTTGGTAAGTGAACCGTGACGAATAACCACCCTAACGTCAATTGAGCGGTAGGTTGATCTGGTGAGCTGCTGTAGGAGTAGTGAAAGAAACTGTGTCAGATATCTGGTGATAGTTCCAGGTTTGGTTCAAGCTAGTTTGTCGTGTAACGTATTCCCGCCGGTTCCCGTTTTGCAATGTAACAGGGTCTTGATTAGAACGAAGCGCACGTTCAACCACGTAATCTTATAAATGTTTGCTTTTTCTGGTAAAGAGTTCCCTGATAGATACAGGACGCAGGATTGTGATTACGTCGGTTGAGTTGCCTGGCTTTTGGTTTCTGGAAAGGCAAGAGCGCCGGTACTGGCAACAATGGCTCAGCGAACGGATAAAGGTTTGGTAGAACTGTCAGGCGAGAGCAAACCGGCAGGCTGGGGAGTTAAGGCCGTAGCCCATGGACCCTGTGATGCGCACAGGCAAGTTCCAGCACGCCAATATCATTTAGGTGATGCACCTTTGCGTAACCGTGCATGAAAGCGGGCGCGCCTTGGCATATGCAGACTAGTCGCTTGACCGATGTTAGACGACACGCGACTACCCCAGGTGTTCTTGCCAAATAGCACCCGATCGTATATGAGGCATCATGATCAGCTTTTCAGATGCTGTTGTGCGTCCGCAGACATGAGGAGATTGAAGGGGTGCAGATTATGAGAATGGTAAATATCATATCGAAGGTGGCGATAATGCCGGGTATCTTTCCGAAAGTACACACAAGAAACTGCATCCAGCTATTCGCTGTGCAATCAGGCTCTTCCCTCTAGAAAGCCTGCAGCTCTTTCCAAGAGCCTGTTAAAGCCCTTTACATTGGCCAGAAGGCCACCACTTCGAGAAGTGACGTCATTGCCGACCATTTGGAGCAGCATAGGAAGGGGAATATTGGGGCCCTCCTCTTCCCTCCCATCTTTGCGTGCCTTTTTCCGACCGTTCTTTATCGCAGCCTCAATCTCAAACATGTCATCACTGAGGGTATTTCTGGCATCTACCTCGGCCTTCTCGGCGTTGTATCGTGCTTGGACATCGTCCGTTTCGATAGCAATCTCTTGTCTGCTGTCCTGAAGACTGAGGATCTCCCTACGAAGCTCAGCATTATCGCGTTTGAACAACTTGATCTTCTTGAAGTTGGTGCTCAAGAGATCATTTGCGTCCTGCAAGTCGAGTAACTTCTCGTTGAGGCTCTCCTTGAAAGAGAGCGAGAGATTGATCTCACTTCGATATTCCTTGCGACGGGTGGAGTCTTGTGAGGCTTGCAGCTTTTCGGCCATACGGCCCAAGCGGTGGTCGATGGTTTCTTCTAAGATGGTACGCGTGGTGTCTGCGACTGTGATGCCTCGGACGGCAGAGCCCTTGATGCGCATGACAGAGATTGTATGCTTGGGCCCTAAGAATTTCTGGCGCTTCCGAGGCGGTTTCTCTGACGTAGGTTTGGCGCGTTGTGTCTGCTTGGGAGACGGGTTTCTCGTTTTGGGTCGTGGAGTGAGTTCTGCCTCTTCGGGCTCCGGCTCTTCGTACACGTCCGACTCTTCATCCGCACTGGAAATTTCGACAGCGTCCTGATTCCGTGGTGTAGGTTTGGGGGAGTGTATAGATGCTTGTTCATGGTCAGGGGAGACATCGTCAAGAACCTCGCTCACTTCTTCCGGTGTTGGCTCCTCGCTGTTTGTAACTTCTGGCTCGCGTACAGCTGGCGCTGCTTGAGGTTCGCGTTCCTGGACTGCGACTTCTTTTCTGGGTCTGCCGCGCTTGGCAGGCTTCGTCGCCGTGGTTGCGGGGACCTCAACCTCCTTGGGTTCCTCCACTACCCGGCGCGGTCTTCCTCGTTTGGCTGGCTGCGGCGGAGTGGCTTGCTCTTCAGACTGTTGCTCTTTCAGGTGCTGTGGTGTCGCACCATTCGCTACCGGCGTTTGCTGGATTGGTGTCGGTTGGCCGAGTGAGGAGAGCTCGTCTGCGTCCATTTCAATATCTTCTTCTGCGGTTCGCTGCGGCCGTGGCTCGCTCCCAACCACCCGCGGTGTAGATCCATTGAGCTGCGGCGATAGCTCATCTTCGCTCTCTTCGTCCACTGAAGCTGCAGCTGGTGTCTCGAGAATAGCGCCGAGTTGTGAAGCGGAAGAAGTTCTGGGTTGCCCGTTTAGAAGTACGCTGGGTGTAGCCGGGCCAGGATCCGTAGAACGCGATCGCCGTAGTGTCGGCCGCCGCGATACAGCTGACGCTTGCTCAACACCCTCGGTGGCAGGCGTCTTTTTTCGGGCACTGACAGGGGTTGCGCGTATTTGTGACGATGCTTGGGGAGGCGTTCGTTTGATGACGGTAGACTTGGCGAAGACCGTCTCGCGTGCAGTACTGGCGCCCTCCTCTAATATGGATAGCTCATCTGGTACGTTGTCTTGTTCTTCGCGTATGGGTAGAACCGTCCCAACGATCCTCCTGCTTTGTTCGATGGAGCGCACGGCGTCCTCACGGTCAGGGCTTAGCTCATCCTCTGCCGCGTCGTCTGGGCCTGGCTGCGCATTTGGTGAGCCCCGCTTCCTCTTGCCCAACTGAGGGGTCACCGTGTTTTCTTTTGGGGTAGCTTTCCGCTTTGATGTACTGCTACGCTGAATCGACGCGCTTCTCTGCCGTTGTGCCGAGCCATTTGCGCTCCTGGGTGTCTTCTGGGCTGGTGTTCGTCGCGGTGATTGCTGGGGTGGAAGAGAGGGTTGTTTGGTCGGTTGCGAACTGAGAGCGCCGAAGTTGAAGCCAAAAGACGCTTGCACAGATGAAGGCCTGTCGTAGTCAGCGTTTGCATGTCTCAGGAGTTCTCGAGTGTCTTACCCAGCACCGCGCACGCGCTGTTGTCGATGTTCGCGGCGATCTAGAGACGTGTGAGTATGAAATTCGGATTATGAATCCTTGAACAGAACGAACATACCGACTGGCGCCATAACAATGTGTGTCGTAACAATTCCTCGAGTTGATGTCGTCGCCGTCGCGTAATCGAGTCGTTGTTATGCCCGGGCGCATCTGAGGCCAACGCGCTAAGACATGCTCGGGTGCTCGGACCCCCGACCCATGTTCACTGTCCCCGCAACTTGGGAACTTTCACCTGCTCACCTCGCGAATACGAATCTATACGCCGACGCAACTATGGGCTGGCTCTGGGGAAGCGGGAATAGCTCAGGCGGGCAAGACCAACTCGATCCATCTCTCCGCGACTTCCTCAAAAAAGAGGCGCCCACTGGCCCGAAACCTTCATTACCCTCCGCTCCCAAAGAAAAGCCCGCCGAATCGCCAACACCCACACAAGCGCAAGCGCAAACACAGACCGATCCCGAGAAGCCATATGTGCCACCGCAATCGCAATTCCAAGATGGCCGATACGCCGACCTCTGGAAGACCTACACCCCACAGGACGTCGTCAACAACCGCGGAAAGTCGGAACAAGACAAGTTACGAGACCTCGTAGACGCCTACAATGATCGCAAAGCCTCAATCGGACGAGTCGCCATGGAGAACTGTGCGCTAGAATACATGAACCAATTTGAGTGTTTCCAAAATCCCAAATCATGGTGGTCGGCAGGAACCATGTGCATCGGCGAGTCGCGCAAGTTCAACCGCTGCTACGACATACAGTCAAAGTTCTTGAAGGCGTTGGGCTACATGACCATGGACGAGAGGTCACCAGAAGAAGACGAGCGGATACAAATGCACGCAGATAAACTCTACCAGCGCATGATACAACAGGAGGAGGAAATGGAGAAGGCCAAGGTAGAGGGACGGCCAGTGCCCAAATTCGAAAGCATATTGTCGAAACGGAATGTCGCGGAAGCCATGAGCGGCGTATCATCGTCAGGGAAATCAGCTGTGCCGATAGCTGAGATTGGCAAATCGAGTAGCAGCATGGACGATACCGATGTGTGGAAGCAGATCAAGCCGGAAGTACGGGAAGAGTACCAAAAGAAGCTAGAGAGCCTGTCGCCCGAAGAGCGCGAGATCGAGAGGATGGCTATAGTTGGTGAGATTAGGGCGCAAACTGGTGTGGCAAAGCAGCTGGAACAGACATTTATCGAAGAGCGGGTAGCTCGTATGAAGAGGAAGGAAGCTGGCCAAGCAACAATTGGCGACACAATCAAGACGTTGTGGGGATGGTGACCACTGCTTGAGAGGTGTAAGTAGATTTTGTTTCGATGACGTGTACGATCAATTCATTGGATGAGATAACAGCAGCCATATCGCGAACACATCCGCGCACATTTCCCGTCCATACTCACAGTGCACAGTCATCGCAGATTGCATGTCGTGCGCATTGACAATGCGATAGTCTCGACTCTCACAATGCCGCGACACAGCTATAGATTCGCTAGCTCATACTTCCCACCACCGGGGTACCAGAGCCACCAACCGGAAGCTGCACGCCCACTCACTCCAGGAATCTCGAACCCCTTCCTTCGACACCTCCGCCACAATGCAGCCTTACTCTGACCACAAAGACACTTCCGAAATGCCATTCAGCATAACGGACACATTTCTCGTCCTCATCCTCGTCTTCCTCCACATCTTCATCTTCTGCCTTGCATTCGAGATATCGCGTTGGTCGAGGAGCAGAAGGATCGATTACGAAATGGCACTGGTCGATGATCAACCGCTTCGTGTTGAAGTCGATAGGTGGCTGGTCGTCCCTGCTCAAGAAGAGCCAGTGCCAGAATATTGCGCGATTGATTCGAGCCCGCCTCCACCGTATATCAAAGATGTCGATCTGGATGTCTTTGTTGTAGAGGTGGACGAATAGGACGGCGAGGCTGTGAGTGGTTGAAGATTGGCGTACCACGCTAGTGTGGCTACGATCCGTGTTGCAATATACGAAAATACTTTTTTAAGCCAGGAGTATACATCGCCTTAGGCGGTACTCACCTGTAAACTTTTAATATTGTGTATGCAGCAAAACGCGACACCATTTCTAGTTCACCATGGTTACACTCATCGCTTTAGTACTAGGAGGAGCGAAGTAGCAAGTCCCCACTGCCTCGACCATAGTTCTGGGAGGAGCGAGTACTAAATCCCCACTGCTTCGACTATAGTTCACCAACTCTAAATGTTTACTTAAAAACTCCATTGCCTCCATTTCTCTCTCGCAAGTCTTCAAACTCAAATCTCAAGAGACATCTTCCGGACGTTCCACATCATCACGACATTTAAGCATAGATTGCCTAAAGCTTAAGCCGCCACCTCCTGCACTACCTACAACGCCGAATACAAACTCAAGCAGCAAAGGTAATGTACCTCCATTGTGTGATTCAACTTCATCTTCTAGCAATGCACACACGTCATCGAAGCCAAAATTAACAGTTTCATTAGCTACGCCATCAACAGACCCTACTACGCCATCAGGATCTCCACCAGAACTATCAACGACAACAATCTCAGGCTCATCTGAGACGAGTCTGGACGAAATGTTGCAACCGAAGAACCCCCGCCCTGTCGATAACCCAGTCGAAGAGTCAGTCGAAGACGCTCGAGATGAACCGGCGACCAATCCAGCAGTAGAGGCTACTCCTGAGATGCTGCGATGGAGAGTAGAAGCAGCCCGACATCGCCGCAGGGCTCGGCTGAATCGCAAGTTACTTCTGGAGGAAATAGCCAAACTACAGAAGAGCTGAACACTCGGGAGCCTACGTTGACGTTATGTCAGCTACTTTGCGTGTTTTTGTCTCCATGTATGCTGCAATCCTATTTACTTTCTTCTAGAGGAGATGGCTAAACAAGGAAAAGCTGAACACCCCAGAGGCTACGTTGACGTTGTTTCATCTACTTTGCGTGTTTTTATGTTAATATATGCTGCAAACCTGTTTAGGTTCTTCATCAGATGAGTTGGACGAGTCTTCTGGATTGTGTTCGCTTGAACAATGTTATTGTTATAGTCTACAGGAAGCCGTTTGAAAGACTATTCACGAACAATGATTGCGACAACCCGCACACCCCGTCTCCACCAGAGAGCTTTCCCGGCCGCCACCACCGCTTCTTCCGGCTATCTTCCAGCGTCACCATCCTTGCCTCTCATCACCACAATCGAGGTCGTCTTCGCCCCACTCTCCACCGATGGCCCAACCAAGAAAATCCAAGATGCCCTTTCCCGCACGCAAGCCGACTCTTTCCCCACCAGAGCTAATCCGCTTCGGCCACTCCTGCAACGAATTCAACTCTTCCAAATACTTCGGCACTGCAACACCATTCCCCCTGAACTACACTACTACCTCGTCAAATCTCTTGCCTTCTCCCACCAGCGACAAACTCTACTGCAACCTATCACCCATCACCACCCCCGATCCAACCAAACAATGCTGCGCAATCTGTCACCTCCACCAAACCAGACACATCCATTCTTCTGCATCGTCAAAGAGAGGTGTTCCGGTAGTTTCGATACCCGTTTTCACACTGCAGGATTCCGTTGTTTTTCATGAAGCTTGTTTGTTTTCGTTTTTGCTTTCCGATCACAAGGTAGCTGGTCTGACTGTCGTGTTTTACGAGGAACTGAGTAAGTTGAGGAAGTGGGTCGTTGCGCAGAAATGGGATTGGGCTGTTTTAGGGGAGGCGTTGGATAGAGTGCTGATGAAGGCAGGGAAGAGGGTGGTGCAGGCGGTGGAAGTGGAGGAAGTGGAGGAGGTGGAGGAATTAGGAGAGATGGAGGATTTGGGGAATGGTTGTTATGTGTCATAGATTCTTTGGTAGACCGTCTTATGTTGTGCAAATAGAACAACCGCCTTTTTATCATTCTGATTGGACTTTCGAAATGTAGTAGACATGTCGCTGCATAAGTACGCTATATCTCTTTCCTAACACCGTTAGCGCGAAGGGCTTGTGCTTACTCACCTTGGGCTCCTTCCCACCACTTCAGTACAGAATGAACGCATCGACTTCTATGTTTTGACTCAGTGCCACTCGTCTTATCATAAATATCGCTCATATCTATAATTCTCTCCAACTCCCCAGCAGCGATGTCGACACCCCAATCCCGCGCCATTGACCTGACCATCCTCAATCTCACCGACATCTTCGGCCAGAAAAACAAGACGACGCGTATGAAAGCGATTGCCGACATTTGGGTACCAAGTTCAGATGTGCTCTTCGTAGACGCATTGGGTGTGTTCAAGTCGCATGAGGCAATCAGTGAGATGGTGGAGAAGATACAGGGTAAGAGTGGAGAGGGCGATGAGTTTGTTGCTTTAGGTGCGTAAATCCGTCGAAGCTTTCATGGACATCTTGAAGAAAGCTGATTGCTAAGATCGTCTGCAGGCAATGTCGAATGCCTCAAACATGACGACGGAGAGGATATCTGGGTGACGAAAGTAAAATGGGGTATCAAAACAGCCAGCAGTGGAGAAATGGGGTTAACGGGTGAGGATGTCCTGACGATAGTGGGCGGAAAGATCAAAGCATGTTACACGTTTCTTGATTCGAAGTAATGTACTGCGTTCCAGGGTATCCAAACTAGCAACAACCTACTTTACCATGTTAACCCCCCATCCTCACCACTCCCTCTACTATCTTCCCTTTCCAAACCCGCCTCGGCATCCACTTTCTCCATGAGCTCGATAACAGGCCCGACGCTGTCTTTCAGCGCAGTCAACCTCGAACGTTCCTTGATGCGCGTATAAAAGACTGAACAGTCTCTACTGTCGCATTTGATCTCTTCGCCCCAGGCGAGATTCGAGCAGCGCCGGCATACCTGTTCGACTTCTGCAACGCGTGTTTCGCTATCCCAGATGCGGTATTTGAGCGAGAGGAGTGAATGTGCTGGGCGCTTGAGACACTTTGCGCAAAGTGGGAGGACGGCGTAGGGATTGTTTTCGCTGCCTGGGAGATGTGTAGGTGGAGTTTGAGGTAGCTTCGAACGGCAGACCATGCAGCTTGAAGATTTCATGTAGCTTTCAAGAGTTTTTTTGAGGGA